AGCCTTATATGGTGTTTTTTGGGGTGGTAATTATGCTAATCTTCTCTCACGTGCACGAGCAGCTGGATACGAACAGGCGGAATTTACACAGCTCATTTACACACTTTTCCTGAAGATAGAAGAGTTTGTTGAATCTGACGTGACAAGTTCGTACGAACCCTTTGTACAAACAAAAGTAAGAGAAATTTAGGATAAGAATACGAACATGTTCTTGCATGAGGCCCATTGTTTCCCAATGTACAATTGCAAGGAATTTAGTGATTTCATCATCTACTGTCCATAAAATCATGAAAAGATTCAGAGAATCTGAACAAATCTCTAAAGCCCTGCATTACAAACCATCATTCTGTAACAGATATTAGCTCATGGGCTCAGGAAGACGTCAGAAAACCTGTCAGTGAACACAGTTCATCTCTACAGCTACAAGTTAAAGGCGGCCTATTATGGGGGTCTTAGCACAAGTTAGGATCCATCTGTGGGCTGTACAAAACATGTTCATTTGATTTATTTCACAAAAAGAATCTCAAATAATGAAATTTCAACTTTTCAGTTCTGCCTGTTCTTTAGCTCTGTTTGTGCTGTATGCAGAAGTTGCGGAAACGCCGCTCCCATCGTTTGTTTATGTTAGCTCCGCCCCCGACATGGTAAAAGTCTCCAAAGTGAAATTATTTTCACAAACTACAGCTTTCTTTGGCAATATTGTTAGAACATTGTCATCAAAGATAAAAATAAAATGAATCCATGCATCTCTGTTCTCCATGGCTGCTGTAAAAACAGCACAACTATCAAAGAAGTGGGCGGAGCTTCACCTTGATTTGCTAGGTAACTTTTATTGTGACGTCAGAATAACATGCTTTGAAAAAACCATGTTTCCAGACACCTAAAAATACATGTAATACATGCATTTTTTGGTGTTTGGACTGCTTCTCTAAGCAGTAGAGACCCAAAAGCAAGTTTTAAAACATGAAAAAAGTGATTTTTGCGTAATAGGTGCCCTTTAAAGCTTTATCATGATTTACACATCCCAACTTCATTGGGGTTGTATAAGTACAGTACACTGAGCAGCTATAACATTATGCCCTTTGATGGGTAAAAATAAATTGCCAGTGGCACCTTCCTATAAAAGTAATTAATTCTCATGGATGTTATGTTTTTATTGTCATAATTCTGGTCAATAAAAACTGATCGTGATTGATTTATGACAATAATAGAAGCATAGATCATCTAAGGGGTTGAATATTTTTAAATAGAATCTTTAAAAAGCATAGAATTAAAAATTTGTCCTTACAGATAGTTTGTTAGCAAGCTTGATAATTTCTTAACGGTGATGATTAYACCGTCTGAGTTTATCTGAACAGCTGTAGTTCTTGTGCAGTGTTCCCTTTCTGAAGTGACAAAATAGATGAAAGAGGTCCAAGAGAGGAGACCCAGTAAGCCAGAGACCCAGTTTGAGTGGTCTGCAGCTGCACAACCTGAGGAGCACCAGAATCCTCTGCTGAGAGTTTACAACAGGAGCATGGACGAGTATCAGAACTGGACCACGGAGCAACGACAGGTTGTCTGGTCTGATGAGTCATGTTTTCCATCATGTGGATTGTTGGGTTTTTAAAGGGGCAATATCATGTAAAATCAACTTTTTTGAGTTTTATATCATGTTATAATGTTATACTCTCATAAAAAACATG